ACTGATTCGTAGATCTCATTACGTAGAGATGTTTCCTTCATTCCTTCTTCGCGAAGACACTTCAATATATCTACTGGATTACCTTCTATCCCCATAGTTTTACCCGATTTCATATCTTTCATTGCTCTTTCTACTTCGACAAACATAATGCTGGCTATATTGTGAGGACGGACGGATTCTTCGGTTTCCAGTTCCAATTGCCTTTGTTTTTCATGCGTTTTATAGGGATGTACTCTTTCGATCGACTTTCCCTTCTTTCGCAACTTTTCTATTCCTGTCTTCCACCTCATTGCTACAAACAGCTTTTGGTGATCTAACCCAGGTAACCTCTTTAATCCTGTTGTAAATAATATCGTACCTTCCTATCCTATGGAGGTTTTCTATAGCATTTGCATCGTTTTCCTAACTCAGTTTCTTTTCGCAACTCCGTATTTAGCCTCCGATATTGTGTTCTTTTTCCTTCGGTAATGGTGTTTTTGTACCTTTTTCTCTCTTCTGATTTATCAAAGGCTTCTTTGATCTTATTCCTTTTTTATATCCAAATTTCACCTTGGTTCCAGGTTTTTTTCAAACAATCCGTTGTATTCGGCCTAACCATGACGGATCTCCCACCTACCAAATACAGGCGGCGCTGAAAGAGTGACTATTTTGGGCATTAACTAAACCACAAGGGCAACGGAAAGGATTATATCAAGAAATGCCATTTTTGTTATACTAATATACCATAACAGACGATTTCAAGTGCTTTAGGGGTAGACGCCCTTCGGTGTAGGGAAAAACACCCCGGAACTAAATCATGAGGGCGGCAGACGTTCTCTTAGAAAATAATAAATTGGTTTTTCTACCAGTCTATCGCCCCTCTCATTTCTGTTTCCAAGTTCATACATGCCAATAATAATAATAATAATTCTCGGCCTATGGCTAAGATCAAAGTGTAGTATCTGTTCTTATCAGCTTAATATCTGATACGACCCACATGCGGGTCCAGTATATTAAACTGATTTTTGGAAATTGACGGAGGTTAGGGGCTTGCTCCACCTCCGTCGCGGGTTGACCCGGTCTTGCAGTACCTCCGGAATCGGTTGAATTACATACTATCCCTAGATTTCCAATGTGAGTGTGTGCATATTTATTTTATTTTTATTTTTTATTTTATTTTATTTTTTTTTTAGAACCCTACATAACTTCACCAGACACAGACACAGACACTAATCGTTACTTTATTTTAATCCGTGCGATTAGTTAACCAGGCTAGACCTGAGTTCTCACAAGAAACACCGACCATAATAATAATAATAATAAATGCCTTTAATTACAAAGAAATAAACAATATATGGATTACATAAAACTGGGGCGAGATTCAGTTAAAAGGTGCATTACCTCCCTCCTGCTCTTCCATCTAAACCCCAAAAGTAGATATATTTATTTAAAATAAATAATATTGAAGGCAACCAAACACAAGAAGAATCTTGACAAATGCGTGCAGGTGTGGCATTGCATTTAATGCTCCAAACAATATACGACCATGAAAGTATTTTATAACCAAAACCAAAAGGATTCTATTCAGCGTATAGATAGCTCATCAGTTTACGTTTAAAGGTATTTATCGGTAGACTTTTGAGTTCTGAAGGAATTGCGTTATAGAGCTTTGAGATTTGTTAGGTGAAAGATCGCTCGAAAGCGACCGTTCTATGACAAGGTGTTGAAAGTAGCCCCCTATAACGTAAATTTAAATTGTGGATATCTGTACGAAACGTAATTTTGTTGTACAAATAAGCAGGTGTTTTTGTAATTAATACTTTGTGAAACAAACAAATTGTTCGAAACTCGCGTTGCCTATTCATACTTAACCAACCAATCCCCTTTAATTTATAAGAAATATGTTCTCTTCGTTTCATGCCAAAAATCAGCCTTAGACAAGTCACAAGAGTTCACACTCCCATCACTGCATTCCAATTCCAATCGCCCATTACCACTTTACAACACAACCACCTCCTTCTTCCTCGATTATACTTTCTATCCTTGCGTATACTTCTTCTACTTCCTCATCCTCATAGTCAGTGGTTGGCATGTACACTTGAATTACTAAAATTTCCTTTCGCACAGAATTAAGGTTTTAGAGCTATCACTCGATCACAGCCATAAATTGCTTTGGCTACACATCTGGAAAGTTCCTTGCTGACAATATTCCTCTTTTTACCAAAAGAACTTTGCATCATCACAACTTTCCTGTCCCGTCCCTTTCGTCAATTGTTTCACTTGCTCCAATTAAATCCAGTCTGTGTTTAATAATTTCTCGTCGTAGATTTTGAAGCTTTTCCTCTTTTAGTGGACTTCTGATGTTCCAAATTCCGATTCCAATTTTTTCATTGTTTTTCTTCAATGTATTCTTCCTATTGGGACTATTTTAACTCCGAAAAATTTAATATTCGAATCTTTCTGTGGCACTTCTCAAGGGAAATTAGGTCTTTAATAAAGTGATTTTCCCTGACCTCGTACCTGACCCCGTTGATTCCGAAGAATTCTTCCGCCTTTGCAGTGATTTCTCACTTCTTGGACAACAGGGTGCTCCGAACGTGTGTACCCGTTCAGCTGCCCTTCTAGAGGCCGGTGGCACTTGATATAGCGTTGACTTCTTATCCCGGAGGTCTCTCGGGCGTCATCATCATCAGTGTAAACAGGCAAAGAACTACATAAAGTCAGCACTAATGTAGTGTAAACTCAGAAATTGAATATTGCCATATCGGTTCACGGCCCTAAGAAGCCCAAAATTTTAGACTTTGCGACGAGACGTAATTGCCAGACATCCAAAATGCGGATTTTTGATCACACGCAAAGCACTCACTTCAATCTGAAATTTAAGGCACCTTAGTAAAATTCTATAAATTTTCAAACACACTGAGTGCAAGGGTTTTCGTACTGACTTCAGAAGAGAAGAAGAATTTTATGGGATTTCAAAATCCTCGCTTTTGCTTCTGTTTAACCCTAAGATTTTCCTTCGCTGATGCGACTGCAGCATAATGGTTGTCGAAAAATATTGCACTAATTTTGTTTTTATTATAGAATGTTAGTCGCTATCGATTTCGGACTTTATTTCTCGTCCATCATCAGGCGATACGTCGGAATTGCTAAACGAATCATGGAATGTGGTGAAAGTATGTATTTACTGAATATTATTTTGAAAATTATTTTGGATCTGTATAATTTATGTGACGAATGATCCTGAAGAATTATTTTATAATTATTATATTTATATATTTAAAACAACGAACAAAAAAAATTAAATAAAGTTATTTAAAAAAAAAATAAAAACAAAATTAAATATATAAATATAATAATTATAAAATAATTCTTCAGGATCATTCGTCACATAAATTATACAGATCCAAAATAATTTTCAAAATAATATTCAGTAAATACATACTTTCACCACATTCCATGATTCGTTTAGCCATTCCGACGTATCGCCTGATGATGGACGAGAAATAAAGTCCGAAATCGATAGCGACTAACATTCTATAATAAAAACAAAATTAGTGCAATATTTTTCGACAACCATTAGACCACACACTAATTCAATATGGAGCCATTCATCAACAATATCGAGACTGCAGCAATTTTGTCCAAGTTCTTTGGTTTGCGTAATTGTTTTCCTGGGACGAATCTCCGGCACATCGGTTTTGTTTCGATTAACATACGAAAGTGGGCCGTATTTACCACACAATTGGATCATTCGCACACTCTACACGCTCTTCAAATTTGTCGACTTCGACATCAGAATGCAATGCTATCGTTATCAACATCCGATAGCAATTTGTGTCAATGAAGTGTGTGGTTCAATTAAATTTAGTCTTTTGGTATTCGACAAACACTGGAATGTGCCAATTTTAGGAAACTTGACTAAAAAAATACAACCCAAGGGTGTGGAAAGGAAAGATTTGCCAACGAGATGTCACATTCCCTATGTATAACCTCATTTAAAATTTGTTTGCATATTTAATTCAAAATTTCGAAATGCAAGCCATGAGTGACATATTGATAAACGATTTGAACAGTCTGAAAGGCAGCAAAGGTAAATACAATCCAATAAAGCGCAGGGTTGTGGATTACCCTGTTCGCAGCGGATGTGATAATCAGTGAAGGAAATTGGGAGGTTGTGAAATCATAACGTTAACAATAAATAGTGGAACAACAATAGATCTAATCCTACCTACCAAGATAAGTGGAATAATTCGACTATAAACTATACGCGTCTTTTAAAGAAATACGATCGCCCACATATTTTTGCTCAAAAGATTCGTTCTAGACTAAACAGAAACACTTTGTTGCGATGTGCAACACTTTGAAATTAGGATACACTAATTAATAGTCGCAAGGGGCGTAAGGAAGCGCTCGGCGACCACTGTCGGAGTAAAATCCACTTTCAAGATTGAAATAGATGGATTACAGAAACACCTCACTATGTTGCAAGGCGCCATAAATTTTATAGTTAATAGGGCGCTTGCGTTAAAAAGGTAATTTAAGAGAAACATAAAATATTATTGCCCTGAAACTACCCGTTTAAAAAAGTAGGGTTAGTAAACTGAAAATGATGCCTTCAAAACCATAAAATTAGTTCGAACGATTTAATCCTGCATCGTTCGTAACGTAAGAACGCCCGAGGGCTATTTCTAAAATTCATTAACGCCTTGTTATGTCTAGGTAGCTAGTTATGCAGATTAGAAATTAATTTCGCACAAGGGCGCTTGTAAATGTCCGAGCTTTCGTTACGAAACCGCCCAGTCGGCCCCAGTAGGTAAAATTCATGTAAAGCTCTTAGTTTGGTTAGTATGACATTTCTTCGTTGTTAAGGAAAAGAGTCTTTGGCGTTTGAGGTAAGTGAAAGAGCCCTCAGTTCCTTGTTGATGGTACATCAAAATTGTCCACAGAAAGGTGAGGGTTCTTTGAGTTACTTAACTTCCCGAAGGTACAATTGGTTATAAATAATTAAGTTGGCTTACCTGTGAACTCTAATCCCGCAAGCTTCCACGTTCCCTTTTTAGTAACGAGGATACTCGCAGGGCATACGTTTCTGTGCAGTACATGTCCCGAGTAATGTAAAAACGATAACGCCTCGGTTATCTGGAAAAAAAGAGAATCTAAAATTAATCGTTTTTGTTTGGAGTAGTTCTTGACTGGGGGAGAACGCCTTAATTTTTTTTCGTATTAGTATGCGTCGCAGACCCTTCGGCATTACCGCACCCAAAATCGCTTTACCATACTAAATACGCGACAAAGCCGTGGAATTATTAACAGATCTACGTACTCGCACATTTATATGCTAAATCTCCGGGCGTGCGAAATTATACATTACGACCGCGAATGTATTTGCACATAAATCAAAGATACATTCGTAAGATCGCGATGCCTTATTTGCCGAATAAATCCCCCTTTAATATTTAAAGCTCGCTGTGAAAGTGGAGTGGAGAATCCAGGTAGATTTATATAAGGATGTCGCAAAAATAACAGCAGTGCAGGGAAGAAATAATTTAAACGCTGGTGGAGTATAGGAATTCGCGGGATACGTCGCGAGGGAGTCACGTGCGGGAATTGAAATACAAATTCATTATACCAACAGCAGTGAGATAGCATGTCACATAAACATATTAGCCCCATTTATAACACATGTAGGGCTGAATTGGATTTAGGGCAAAGAACGTATATGTTTCCATCTGTTCTTTAACGCTTGAAGTAATGCCAAACTTACCCCATTACGAATTAGAAGCGTATACACGAACATTTCAAATTACAACTCACCCTTGAATTGCTACATGATTCTAACTGCTTTCCAAAACTTCTAAGACAATGGGCACAACTTCTTTTTCCAATTGTTTCTACTAAATACCTAAATTTCAGGATGGAAAGATATTTCATTTCCAAAATTTTAAATTTGCCACCTTAAATTTTAATTGAAGACTAAATTTACAAAATTGGAGGGCTTAAGGATGTACAAGGAATATTGTAAATTGGGCCTAAATTTCTTGAATACTGGAATACTGGAATTTTAAGATCTCGACGAGAGTAACACAGAAAAGCTCGATTCTGGCCAAGATTCCTAACTTTTAGATCTCATTTGTAAATTTTAAATTGACAGTCAAGCATTTTTCTAAATCTATCTGAAAAAATGGTAAACTTAGAGTAAGCATGTTTAGCTTCATACCTACTTCAATGTGAAATTTTACTTGAAACCCACATTTGTTTGAAATGTAGGTATGCATCGGAGAAATTTCGAATAAATAATCACCTTTCGCTTATCATTTGGTTTCGCGGCTTCGTTCTCAATAGGTGAATCTCCCTCTATGTCTGGAGGAAGTAATTTTATATATAAAAATCGCATTTCCCATTCAAAGCGAGATGAACTTTTACGATTTTTTATCATAATCCTAATCTTAAAGAATAAATCGAAATAAGCATCGTATGCAATTTAAATTTACGGACGCATGATTGACGGATATTGGGGTAGTAAAACGCGCGAGCGGACACTAAAATCGCGTCTTGTGGATTTATTCGGAATGTGTACGGGAAGTTGTTCTAATAATTTTGGGGTTCAGCCTCATTATTTCTAAAAAGCGGTACTTTTCTTATTATTAGTACTCATGATATTATGTGTATTCTAGATTAGAAAATATATATTTGCGTTACATCCAGAAAATCACAATGACACATCAAATTCGATACATTCATAATTTATATAACAGAAGCGCCTTAAGATCATTAAAGGATTTTCAATTACCTCCCCAACTGAAAAAAATTAAACTTGCAAGTCTCCGCTATATGGAGCGCGAGAGAATCAAACTTTCTAAATTAAAGCAGCAATCTCATTAAGCTCAAGTTGCAAAAAAAAAATTATCCGGTCTTTACACTGGATTATTTTCGATCCAAGTATTAAAACATTTGATTGACTCCATAGCGAGTGTGTTTGTATCGTGCTCGTGTTTCTTAACACCAGGATCAGGAATAAACCCGAATAAAATATGTTTGTGCAACCGGCCCTAAGTCTCTCAAATTCACTATCCACGCCTCTTTATTGGATTATCCAAAAATCAACGCTGGTTACGCAATTATATAGTAGTATATGTAAATTGATTCGTCCCTTGTCTACTTTTCATACTTTCCACCCTCTATAGACATTCGATTGTTTTCTCACCAGGTTTTCATCAGACGGGATATTATAATCTTCATAGCGGTTTGGGGAGGTTTCACCAAATCTCGATTAGAGTTAGTTTCGGAAACAAAAGTTCGACAAGAGCCAATTGTTACATTATAGCGGTGTCTGAGCCATGAATGGGACTGAGGTAATAGGTTTTTTCAGCTTTTGGCTTGAAATTTATTTATTTCTATAACTTGAATCTCATTGAGAAAGAAGATCGCCCTAATACCCTTGAAGTCTTGATTTTGTAGCCATCTTCGAATCTTATCTTGGATTTTTTTGTGTTCGAAATGGTTTATCCAATATCTCGGAAGCTATTGAAGGTCGGGTTAGAACAAATTGGAAGTAAAGCGACTATTAAACTAAAAATGATCCCTCTTCGTGTAACGGGAGCCCTTTTTTTCGAATTTTTGTAGGGTAGCTGAGTTTCACGGGTACACATGGTAGTTCTGTTAGAGAACCGGTATGATACAGGGGGGGATTGCGAGTCAGAAATTCGATTTGGGCCCTCGTACGCTGGTGGTTGCAAAAAAGTAAAATTCGTAAGCTCTAACAATATTATACGAGCGGTGAAAATAATACGGTTAAAAGAGTTCCATTGAGTGCCAAGAAAGTTGAGATTGTGTAAAATGTGTGTTGAACCAAATAGAGTTTTCCATGCGCAACACGTGAACTCGAATAAAATCGATCTGCCGGAAAATGGAAAAATTTGCGCGTACCCACAACTATTTCATTTCAGAGGAGAACGCTTAGGTTTGCAACAACAATAACAAGTCAAAAAGTCATTACGCAAACCACAAATTTCTGTAATTGATTGGAAACACCTATACATTCAAACACGCGGCTTTCACTGGAAAAGTTCACCCTCCAAGTTGTGTCCTGATGTATATTTAAAATAGAAATTACATTTCAGCGTAAGTCCCACTTAACCAAACTTGCGCAATAAATACATAGAGGGACGTGACTATATTTCATTTGAGGTAATTCAATTTCTCATACGATTTCGGTCGTCCCACCTACTAATACCAGCGTTTACCGGTGCCTTCACTTGAAAACTGAACGCGTGAATTAATAAGCAGCGAGTAACGGAATTTTAAATTCGAAATGCGAATCTCTCGATAACGTTTCCGACAACGTAGAAATGTAAAGGTAAATAGATTACTGACTATCCAAATTGAATATAGCCGCTTCCTCCGTTTCAATTCGTTTGGCAGGTATCAAAAAAATAAATCCGGCGCGCTAATTTTTACGAGCACATGTCAATATGAGGGACGTTAAATCGGATGGATGAAAACGCTTTCACTAAAAGAATTCGCGCTTCATTTTATATAATGTCACTATAAAGCATCTGACATTTGTTTTTGTACCACCAAAAAAGTTGTTAAGACACAGGAATCACTAGGTATATAATTACATCTTGCCCAACGAGCAGCGCAATAGCAATATTAATGCTCTGTATTTACTTCTTCCAATTTGATAAATATATATTCCAACTCTATGTTTATATAATGTGTAATTAACATGACAAAAAATGAATGTTAGTATGTATTTAAAACCCCCATAACTTGTTTTTATACTTATGGTGGGTTTATACAATCATTATATTAGTTCACCAAGCTCAGGATGGTTTCGTTGGTTAGCAACGCGCAATAAACCTTTGTTTCTATTGGCAATTTCTTAATGATTTTTGATAGTGAACTAATGAGGGTGAACTAATGCCGGTGACAAAAACGGAAAAAATTCCATAGTGAAAAGAAGGAATTAATGTTTGTGCTAAAGTCTGGAGGGTGTGGAATACCTTCAATAAAAAGGAAGTCTTCAATTTTCTTTTCTCATCAACTATCATAAAGATTTTCATCTAATGGGGTATTTCTAAACCCCCCGAACTTGCGGTTAAACATTTACTAAACTGATGGTGTAACGGCTCTAATGGATTTTGGGAAATAATTTAGAACCGGGGGGTTCTGGGGGGTATGGAATACGCCAGTAACAAAGGAAATGTTCAGTTTCTCAACAACTATCACAAAGATCTTCAAACTCAATTAAATCATAACCTGAAAATCACTTACTGCCTATTTTTGTTTTTGGTTTCTACTTCTTTAAGAGAAGCAGCTGTTTTGAGTATTAAAATTTTGTCACTCACTTTCAATCATTCCACTTTCACTTATAAACGTCTTGCACTTCACACTAGACTAGAGTGCCAATTGGATCATTCGAAATTGAACTAATAATTTTCAGTTCCACTTAACTTTTGAGTCAGATTCATAATAATTAAGGCTTTGGGTTCGAGTTTGAGCTTTAAAAAATATACATCATGTATTGAGCTTAAATGAAGATCTGATTTTGAAAAATAATCGTAATTTAAGCAAATGTTTAGGTCAAAGTTGAACTATACACAGGCTCTCAGTCGAAACTCAAAGCAGCACTTTCAAGGGTAAACCAAAGCTTACATTTTATGCACTCATTAAAAAAAAACTTTTGCATTTAATTTCAAGGTCCTACTTGGAAATCTGACCTATCTATTTTCAATTCCCAATCTGACAACTATATTGAAAGTCAATCGCTGTACAGGGTTTCTCAGTATATTTTGACCCCCACGTATTGTTATTAACTTTGGGAACACAGGAAAGAGTTTCAAATATACATTTTAGTAATTTATCTGTACCGACTAAAAATTATTAACTGATTGAATTTTACTTAGTGCTCCACAAAATACATTTTCAATATCTTTAGTGGGACACCCTGTATATTTTTAGGTTTCAGTAGCCATGTATTTCCTGATTACAAGTATATTATAATTTAATGACTTTCGGCCTTATTAAAAGATGGTTGGTGCAGTTACAAATAATTTTCCAAAAATAAATCGAAAATACTTTTGCTTTTTTACACTTTTCAGAAATGGAATGTAGCTATTATTATACTCACTTTGTCT